TCTCCCCCAGCAATTCTCATTTTCCTGAGATTAAGCTAGTGGGCCTGTAATTATTTTGAATGTCCTTTCTGGATCTTCAGGTTAAGTAGGAATTGCCACCCTTTAAATGTCTGTGTATTTTTAATCTTTATCCTTTTCCTACCAAGTAGTACTTGCACTAACACACATCTTCATCTCTGATAAGAGAAGACCAGAGGAAAAGAAGAATAGATGGAAAGGCAAGAAGTAACTCTATAGTATACCACGTTTCTCCTCCTGCACAACAGGGAGGATGTGTTAATTTGGATACATCTGATTAAAGTGTTTTGATTCCTGAGTCCATTTAGCCTCCACTCTTGCATTTGCTCCTCATACAGACCATACTATTGGATCTATGAAGGCTTATTTTCTGTATCTCTGTCCTGTTTGAGCCTGTGTTCCTCTCCTGACTGTGCTTTGAGGTTACTGTGTGACATTCCTCTTCCACAGGTCCACTGAAGGAGTGCTTGAAGGTTAAAAGCCAACCTCAGAATGAAAGGAGCAGCAAAGAGTGGGAGTACACTGGCTTCTGAGTTATACAGGGAACAGTTAAGAGTCTGCAACCTGTCAGCTGAATAGATGAGCTTCTAGACATGGTGACAAGTGTACCTCGTCCCTATTGCAAAGAGTAATGAGAGATTGAGGAGGGAAATAAAGTATAAAAATTAATAATGATACAGGAATACACACAACTGTGAAGCACAGTTGTATGTTTCAGGAAAAAAATTGGAAACTACCTTATGATACTTGGTAATATCCTTCCATGCATGGGTGGTGGTGGTGATTTCTTTGCCAAAGTGCTGCAAAATTATGAGATTTTTGCCCCCCCCTGAACATTTGATAGCTATATAGTATTTGGACTCTTGTGTGCATCAGAAATTAAGTTTTCAGTCACCCTAATGCCAAAATGAGATTTACAAGGAAAACATATTTCTCTCTCAGCTCATTAAATAGATGGATGATGAATGCTGTGACTGAAAGGTTGGAAAACAAAAGGAAGTGACAAGAGAGAAGCTGCTGGACAAAGCCCATGGTGATGAGGGAGGCATTATAACATTTGGCAGCTGAATGAGGACAGTAACTATCTGGGTCTGAAAGGAAGTTTCTATTGAGGACAGATGTCTTTGTCAGGAAAGGAGAGTGGCCCTTTGGAGGCCCTCCTTACATGTTTGTGTGGCCTGATAATAAAGGAAAGATGAACCTGTGACTGCTGGTAGAACAGGGACTGGGAAATTCACTGCTACTTTTGTCTCGTGGCAGTGTTCTTCTCTGGAATTAGTTTTATCTGCTGGCATGGTTTGATTGCTATTTGTCATCAGTGGGTTTGTCAAGGATGATGTTTTAAAATGTTACAGAGATTTCATTATTCAGATGTGGAGGGAATATTCCCTGTGTGTTGCTAGTTGAAACCAAACTCTTATTGGAAGATCTCAGATGGTAACTTTTAAAGGCAAAGTTGTTAGTTATGAAATGGGTTGTATGTCATAGGCTGAATGAAGCCAGCTAAACCCTGGGAAATCAGCAGCAGCAGCAGGAGGATGTGTGTGATAGCTGGTGAGAGGATGAGTGTAAATCAGCAGTGTAATAGGGCTGTGAAAACAGCAAATGTCATCCAGTGATGGTCGAATCTCCAGCTGATGCAGGGAAGTTATGGTGGCGTTGCACAGACACTGGTGAACTACTCTCTGGAACAGTGCATCTAGTGCTGACCATGCTCACTCAATAACATGACCTAAATTTGCAATAACTGCACAGAGGGGCCACATAAAGAGCCTGTCTTGCTTTCTTTGCTTATATATATCTGCTAGGTACAGAGCTGAATGAATTTGCCACCTAGAAATACCTTTGGAGGGGAAGACAGGTCAACAAAACTGTTTAAGCCAAATAAGTGTGCTGCAGAAATCAGTAGGTATAATTTAGCCTCCTTAGTGATTAGGTTATGCAGGTATTTGACTGCTGGAAAACGAGTGAAACCATTCTGGAAGAGCTTCTGGATACAACTAAAACTAAAACAAAACAAAACAAAACAAAACCAAAAACAACTAAAGTACTTTTATGAGTTTAAGCAGTTTGAAAAAAGAGAGCAGTATAGGATGCCAACAAAGGACCTGGACTTGATGAGGAAGATGGTCCTTTTGGTTCTTGATTAACAAATGGGCAGAACATGAGGTTTGCACAGTTTCAAAGAGCTGGGAGAGTATTCAGAGTTTCTACTCCTGAAGAAGTCTATAGCTTTCAAAAGATAACATGCCTTACTAAATTCAGTTTAGTGTGAGAATGTTTACTGGTTTATACCAGCCTGAATTAGTATCCTCACTGATCATTTCAAGGAATAAAAGCTATGATGATCCCAGCTCTCTCCCTGCCAGAGCTGGTCCCTCAAGGTCAGCACTGACACATAGTGCTTGGGCTGTACAGGGAGCTGTGTGTGGCCAGTATT